CATACAACAACAAATTTCCAGGGAAATTTGTTGTTGCAAACACATACCACACAACCAGGAACCATAAGGAGTCTCACAGGTCGGATGTCTTAACCAGGAGGAAGCCACACAGGTACAGTGTCTACCCACCCTCTTGCTCGAGTCGCTGACAAAAGGGCCTGGGCAAACACCCATGGCAGCTGTCATACCTGGAATGGAGAGCAACAACTCGGGTCAGGTGTCCACTGCCCTCCCCTTGACAACAAAACAATTCTGTTGAGCCCAGCAGAGCTGGGATGCTTGACACGATGCCACGTAATGCCACGAAATGCTTTTCATAATGCCACGTTTGTCAAAAACGGCAATGATCGGAGGATCCCAGATCACTCTGCTGGCCACAGATCGCCCAAAAATGGCCCACAACTTCCTGGGACCCTTTTCCACTCCCCATATTGTGTATGCAATACACATTTACTATGCTAATATCCCGCATGTTCAAAAGAAGGAAAGATGGTGGTCAAAGATCGACATTTCTGTGCTGGTTTTTCCAAGAGGGAGGCAGCTGAAATTCTGTGCCAGCCACTGGGTCTTTTAACTTTAATTTTTTTTCCAATCATATTTTATTTATACAAGGAACCTTTATTTTTTTTTCCAAACTTCGACTAATTTGTGCTAGTCGGTTGTCAGAAAGGAAGATTTGGCTGTGAAGAGGACTCCAGCCATTGCATTCTTGGTTGCTGTCCATCATGCAGCATATTTAAAATTACAGTGTTATAGAACGCTTCCTTCACCCAGTAAGGTGCAAGTCATGATTATCATATGTTTGAAGTACTATAGAAAAATGTACTCATCCTGCCCCCCCAAGAAAATTAAATGCAACCACGCACCAATCACACACTGTTGAAATAATATTTTACACATCTGTGCATCTACCACGCAGGGCCTATTTCTCCTATGGCTCCAGAAAATCACATTCAGTATTCTCTTCTGCTGCTGCTGCTTCTTCTGGGCAAATTTGAATGGGCTTGCGCGGGCAGAGGGTTCATAGCTTGCATGTAGTCACGGTCAACCTGCATATGAGACAGCCTTGAAATACTTGCAAGCCACAGAGGCTTGAAATACTTGCAAGCCACAGAGGCTTGAAATACTTGCAAGCCACAGAGGCTTGAAATACTTGCCAAGCCCTGCTGATAGCGTCCTTGTGAGGCAACAGGGGCAGCTGCTGCAGGRGGGGCTGCTGCTAGAAGAAGGAGGGGGGGGGGGGGAGTCTCCTGACCACTCCCACCTCTTGCACGCCGAGAAACGTTTTTTCACACAGCTGCGGACTACCGTGCATCCTCGAAATAAATATTCAAATTACCATCATGCAGTCACCACGCAGCGCCAAAAATGTTATTTTCGCGCGGTGATTTCTCTACAGTATGCCAAAAGTGACTGATTTTGGGCCAGGTGGCAGTAATATAAGAGAAGCAGGAGAATGGCTATACAACATGCCTATGGTCGGGAGCATTGCATCAAGGAACTGATCAAAATTCTCACCAGCAATGCACCCAAGTAAGCCTGAAATCCTAGATTTACCCGGAGCTGACCAGGAGATTTGTGAAAACAGATTCTCGCAGGTATTTGCACCTGTATCAGGGGGTCCAATGCCCTGCTGTTGCATAATTTCGTTTGTGATTAAAGGCGAGCTAGATTATGAAGGGTGCCTGTGCGATACTGCAGGATGGTATGCTTCATGGGTGTGAATGTAGTTGACATATTCCTGAAAGCATTGCTGATTTTTTTATCTACATGCGGTAAGAAAAAAGAAAAGAAGAGAAAAGCTACGTAGGCAGAGAAAAGAAACTCTCCCTACATCAGTTTTTCAAGGAAAAGGAGACACATTGGCTCAGAAAAGAGCCGTGTGCCCCCTTCACCACCGGGTAAGAAAAAGAGAAAGCTTATGTGGATCTGGAGGGTTACTAGAAGCACCTGGCTCTATAACCTGGCTGTGGGAAGTATTCTTGTTTCCAATAACGCGGCGTGTGGAGAGAAGTTTGTGGGCATATTGAACAGAATGGGCATGAAGTTGTTGAGCAAGCTTTGTGGCACGCTGGTGATCCAATCCTAGTTGTTTGAATTGCTTCAGGGTATGCTCAGTGTAAATAGTTCCACCTACACCCAGGAGAATAGGGTGAATTGTTACAGCTTTAGCTTTAATAAGTTTACAAAGGTCTGCATGCTGCTGCTTTGCCGCGTTCAACTGATGCTTGGCCTTGTGTCTTCACAGAACTTGATTTCTATTAGATGCAAATGGCGTTAAGTTGCATGGAGTTCATGGGGGTTGCCACACGCGTTTAAATTGTGTGGTCCTCCATGTGGATGTGCGCAAAGCGTGATGTGAATGGATAGGAGAAACACTGTTAGAAGTAGGCTTGGCATCGTAAGGGGTGATCAAAATAGCGTCTGGTCGACTGGATTTGAGTTTCTTCCTCTCTCAAAGGTTACGAAGGAAGAAGTAAGTAGTTAAAGTTCTGTTTGAGGCATGTGTAGGGAGTTGGAGATTGTGCGGTGCAAGCTAAAAATCGCCTTCTATGTCTGTGTAGACCAGGCCTGATCCCATAGGGCGTTTTCCGAGTGCTTTTTAAAATCATTCTGCCTGCAATGTTATGGCGTTCAGTTTTCATGTTGGAGATAACATGGTTCTGGCAGCCTGAGAGCATGTGGAGTGCGCTGTCCAATTGATGACAGCCTGGGAGGGGGCACGATGTCTCAGTTGATCTATACAAACGGTCTGCATGTTTTTGATAAAAGGCAAGTTAGATTATAGAGGGTGCCTGTGCGATACTGCAGGATGGTATGCTTCATGGGTGTGGATATACTTGACATATTCATGAAAGCATTGCTAGTTTTTAATCTACATGCGGTAATACATCATGAAAGTAAGGTTACAACCTGTTTTGGCATTGGCATAACCGAGTTTGTGTTTGGTATGCATGTGGGGTTTAAGAGAATCTTGTAGTTTCAGGAGATAGGTGAGCTTGGGGGCAGGTGGGAGACCTGTAGATGTACCCGTAGCATGCGCTCCTTTGTCTTCCTTGGCTAAGCCAAAAATATGTGTGTGGATTTCCGCCAGGACCTGCACCAAGGATTTTGGTGTTTGCCACGCAGTTGTTGGCTTGATTTGCATGATGTTTTGCAATAGCACCTGCACTTTCATTTCCAGCGATGCCAGCATAAGACTTCACTTTGTTAAATTGAATATTGATGTGAGTTGCTAATGAGAGATGAAACCATTATAAGGACGTCTCCTTGGATATGCCTCAGGCGTTTCTCAAGGTGAAGAAGTTGTAAATGTGTGTGATTGAAAGAGGTGAGGCTGCTTGATGCAACGTTTGCATATTTGGTGATGATAGCAGCATTTGCTGCCAGTTCAGGTCGACTGATGATTTTAATAATCCCAGCACATTTGGTACTACAAAGGTCCTTATTGTCAGTAAGTGGGCAGTAGGCGCCTGCCTCAATTCATTGCTTGCCTAATTTTGCGCTGCAGAAAAGATAAGGAGCTGTTCACCGTACTTCACAGTACTTCAAACATATGATAATCATGACTTGCACCTTACTGGGTGAAGGAAGCGTTCTATAACACTGTAATTTTAAATATGCTGCATGATGGACAGCAACCAAGAATGCAATGGCTGGAGTCCTCTTCACAGCCAAATCTTCCTTTTTGACAACCGACTAGCACAAATTAGTCGAAGTTTGGAAAAAAAAATAAAGGTTCCTTGTATAAATAAAATATGATTGGAAAAAAAATTAAAGTTAAAAGACCCAGTGGCTGGCACAGAATTTCAGCTGCCTCCCTCTTGGAAAAACCAGCACAGAAATGTCGATCTTTGACCACCATCTTTCCTTCTTTTGAACATGCGGGATATTAGCATAGTAAATGTGTATTGCATACACAATATGGGGAGTGGAAAAGGGTCCCAGGAAGTTGTGGGCCATTTTTGGGCGATCTGTGGCCAGCAGAGTGATCTGGGATCCTCCGATCATTGCCGTTTTTGACAAACGTGGCATTATGAAAAGCATTTCGTGGCATTACGTGGCATCGTGTCAAGCATCCCAGCTCTGCTGGGCTCAACAGAATTGTTTTGTTGTCAAGGGGAGGGCAGTGGACACCTGACCCGAGTTGTTGCTCTCCATTCCAGGTATGACAGCTGCCATGGGTGTTTGCCCAGGCCCTTTTGTCAGCGACTCGAGCAAGAGGGTGGGTAGACACTGTACCTGTGTGGCTTCCTCCTGGTTAAGACATCCGACCTGTGAGACTCCTTATGGTTCCTGGTTGTGTGGTATGTGTTTGCAACAACAAATTTCCCTGGAAATTTGTTGTTGTATGATAGAGGTGCGGTCGTTGCGCTCTTTGGTTTTGGATCATCCATGTGTCAGTATTGCATTCAGAGCATCACATCGTGTGAATCTCCTTGAGGACTATCACCATGCATCACAGATTGCACAAAGCATAGATTGGCTGCTGACAAAGTGCGCAGCTTTAGTTGCCTGCTGGTCTGTGTCCTGCCCAGTCTGTAACTTTCCGGCGAAGTCCCTGAAATCCGTCTGGAATCTCTCCAGCAGCCTTAGCCTTGAAGATCGGAAAAAGGAGGGACAAAACATACATAATGTATTGAATTATCCTTGCAAAAACGGTTGTGGATCATCCATCCATGTGTCACTATTGCTTTCAGAGCATTGGGCAGAAATCACATCATGTGAATGTATTGAATTATCCTTGCAAAATGGTTGTGGATCATCCATCCATGTGTCACTATTGCATTCAGAGCATTGGGCAGAAATCACATCATGTGAATCTCTTTGAGGACTATCCACCATGCATCACAGTTTGCACGAAGCATAGGTTGGCTGCTGACAACGTGCGCAGCTTGAGTTGCCTGCTGGTCTGCGTTTTGCCCAGTTTGTATCTTTCCGGCGAAGTCCCTGAAATCCGTCTAGAATCTCAAATGCCAAATTGCGATAGAAGACAAAAACGCCCACCCGGGGGCTCGAACCCCGGACCACAAGGTACCACCAGTCTGGCTTCGACTGCTTGCATGTCATTAAGAGCCTTGCGCTCTGCCAACTGAGCTAGGCGGGCGGAGTGCATTCCGCTCAGAGCGTCGGACGTAGATGATCACGTAGTGTTTTTAAATAATTAGGAACTTCTTGGAAGCAAATCAAGTGGACCAACGTGGATACCGAAATGTGCATCCGGAGGGCTACGGAGGGATAAAACTGAACGTCTCTAACTATACAATGCATTGCACAACCTACACAGGTATTTCCCTGAGCAGGTCTTTCTCATGACTGCACACCCCCCACCTTATTGTATCAAGACTTAACCCCCTTGGATATTCCTGCCCAAGCTAGGATGCACGCTACTATCAGCGAGCTAATGTGCACAGCTGATGGTCTCTCTTCTTGCCTTGGTGCATGTTGTCCAGCCGCACAAACACACACAGAAACAGACCAACTTTCCCCCCGCTCAAACCCTGTGCAAGGAGCAGCAGAGTCCTCAAGCTTTGCAACACGTTGCTGGCATGAGGCGAGAGGCAGCCTGCATCTCCTAGACCACACGTGCAATGTACACCCGCTATATTCACTTGACAGAAGCCAAATGCTTGGGAAATACAAGGCCCGGTGCCCATCACGAGACCCCCGTTGTTGTGTGCCTAGTCCTCTTGCTCTCTCTTATGCTATTCAAGGTCCTCATGTCTCACTCCGACTGTATTCTATCCCTATTTGCCTGATTTCACTTGAACACATTTTTTAGCTTTATTTTTGTTCCCCTTCCCTTTGCTCTCGAGCTTGATGCTTGCTGGGCATGATCA